AGGTGTATGTGTGACTTTCATCAACAGAGCACACAAATATGCAAAGTCTATAATATTGATGAGACTGGAATGATTAAATGAGTGCAGGGAAGAGAAGCACATCTGGATGGCTCCCACATTAAACGTCTGAATGACAACAAATACATGATGACAGCAGTAGGGAAAGAAAGTGGAGTGGGTGAGAAAAATCTGGAGGCAAAGAATTAACTTTAAATGCACCAGTCTTTCAGACAATGTATCTTCTGCAATATTTTCCCTCTTCTCTTCTTAACCATGTGACAAAGATATAGAGAGTTGCCTTCATCTAATACTGAAATTTGTTAAAATAAGGATATCAGTGTCCTTAGATAAAGATATCTCCGTACCCCCTCCTCCATGCACTCCTTAGCACCATCCTCCCCCCCTGCTTCCCTCCTGGTTTCAAAGCTTAATTCACTGTACAGTCTTTACCCAACACCTTTTCCAACCAAGCCTGGCTTCTGGAGGCAGATAAAAAGCAGCAGCACACACATACAAGCAAGTCTAATGGGCTTGCCAAAAAGTTGGTTGAAGATAACTAAACTGAAGTTGAAGGCACTAGTGCTGGTGTGATTTTGCAGCTCAGGTTCACAGCTAGTCTCACTCTTTGTAAATTCAAAGGCTACTAAAGAAACAGAGAAGGTTTCTGTGAAAAGTAAGCATGGTACAGATATACTGTCTAGTTGACCTATGCCCAAAGACAATCAATGTGTGGCTTTCTTTTTTCCTTTCAATTCATTTATTTTCTAACAGCAGGAATGGAAAGGGATTCAGATATGCAAATATTTTAGTTTTGTATATTCTTAGATTAATCAAGAAGGCCTTCTCTGATAGACATGAAAGATACATAATAATGAAAAAGTAGCAATAAAAATGTTTGTCCTGACATCTGTTTCAAATCTTAAATATTTGAGAATGAACTGCTTTGAATAAATGTAATAAGCAAGGAGTTAAATTGGAGGACTGAGGGATCCTGGTAAATGACAACCTCAGTTACTTCAGTTACAGAATATAAACATTCACAAGGAGGTACAGGAACAAACAGGAATCTTTGTGCCAGTGATGGGTTGCTGTTCATTGTACTTCCAGAAATCCCTTTTCAAATGCTGATAAGCTGCAGTCTGCTGCTATTGCTCATGGCATTGGCAGTGCTACACACCAATTACCTGTCAAAGGTATTTTTAAAGCAAATGTGCAGCTTCTTGATTTTTGGCTTTATTCCTCCTACAAGCCAGAAAAAGGAAAGTAATAACAGGGTATGTCTGAACCAAAGTGTGTTTTTTTTCAAATGAAGAAAGATCATATTTGTTATTTCTCACATTGAACAGAAAGTTTAACTGTGCCTGCTTGAAATGTTTAATCTGCAGCATTTGTACAGGGAGCCAAATGGTTAGAGCATTTTTTCAGCATCCCTCCCACTCCCAAGGTGACACTGGGAGAGGCACAGGTCCCCAGTGTCTCCTTGGGAGTGGGGCGGATGCTGAAAAAATGCAGCTGGGTGACAGTAGTATCCTGCTTCTCCCCTTCACTACTTTAGAAATCTGACCACGGAGAAAAAAATTTGAGCCAAGACTGGCAATGTAGTTGACATAAAATGATTATTTTTATTATTGAAGTCAGCTGAAGTCACATTTTTGGATACCATGGCATTCACCAAAAATGCTGTGCCTGGCTCTAACTATCCTGCAGCTGTCACAACTGTTGGTAGCACTTGGCTGTAGAGGCAAAGGACCATTCACTTTCCTGTTGCTGTGATGCTCACTTATAATGACAACAGAAATTAGCCAAGAACAGCATGTTTAGGTACCACCAGCGTGTTCCTCTGGATGCTTCAATGGGATAGAGAAAGACAACATCTCACAGCATCATGGGTGAACAGCCACTGACTTGTGCTGGGTCTATTCCAGCCTCTGAAATGGTGAGCATCTTCTGGAAAGAGGGGAAAGAAACAATGGTGGCCCAATATGCTCAGCTTCTATTCAGTCTGGCCAGATAGAGGTAGAGTAACTTTGGTTCTCTACTTCCCTCCAGTTCTCCACGTGCAAAACAGCTAATCATAATCTTAAGGCATGTTATTGAGCCAGGAGGAGAACAAATTAGAATGTTGACATTAGGATCCTAAAGTTGAATTTTGTGTAAAATTTTCCTATGTATGTAATTAATATGCCTCCTGGGGAAATGCAGCTGGAAGTTTCTACATGGAAAACTCTGTTTAAGATACACAGAGCTGTGGTATGCTAATCTAATTCAGAATTTAAAACTGAAATATAGATAAACTGATAATTATAGCTATGTAAATAACGCAACTTCAATTGTGTGTGAATGTCCTAACTGGCATGTGAGATGCAGACTACTGCCAATTTTTCATTTCCAGTAGAATCAGCTACAGCTGTGATTCCTACTGTGAAAATTTGTGTGTTACTGAATATGTATTTTTAATGAACCCAGTAGTCATTCACTCAACAAAAAGTCAGAAGCTTAATCCTCTTGTTTGAGGTTTGTGAAGAACTAAGTTTGGCATCCTGCTTGTTATGCTAAAGGAAACAACTGAGAGTTTGAAACACTTGTCTGTTTACCATATGACAATTTGGTGGTTTCTGCCTTTTTAGACAAATAATGTGGCAAAAGCCCCAATTCTAGTACCAGACCAATCTGGCTGAATGTGCCTGGTCAAAGAGACTGAAGTGTTCCATGTGCCTTTGCTTAATGTGCTCAGCACAGCACAAAGTTACTGCTAAATGGCTGCACTTTGACTTGTTTTCTGACTTCTAGTAGTATATTTTGATATGAATCAGTCCTTGAAAAGGTCTGTAATAAAAATTGGGGGTAAATATATTGTCACATGCAAATTAGATGCCTCTTTCATATGCCTAGTTCCATGTTGGGGTAGACAGTTTTGGAAATCCCAATAACCGTGCTTTGATTTGTGTACCTGAGTTTACATATATTGCCCAAAAATTAAGGGAAAAAAAATCAACATAGATACTGGGGAATTATTTTTTTTAGCAGAAATACCTTGAATAAGTTCTGTTCTTATCAGACAGCATGGATTTGCATCACATTGCCCTCTTAGGGAAATCTACCACATATGGTGCCTGTTATCTAGCTCAAAAATGGTCATTCATCTTGTTTCTCAGAGGCACACACCCCAATATTCTTGAGGCTGGGACTCCCAAGGATGTATGATGAGCTGAGGAGAAAGAAGTTCTGGGGCTGGTACACAGGCAGAGAATGACAGTGTAACCTCAGGGGCTTCTCTATTTTGGCAGGTTGGCGGCTGGATGTGAACTAGGTTCTGGAGCCCCCAGCCTCTGTAGTCAGAGCTGTCTGTTTTCTTGCCATGTCTAGCAACCTTGGACTGTTACATCTCCTTTGCTGCTTGCTTGGGGTACTTTTCTCACAGGAGCTGCACTGAACTGCCTCGCTGTGGCTCCATTTCTTTAAGGTTCAGTTTACCCTTAGACTACATTATATACTCCAGGGACCCCAAGACTATGTTGAACATTCAGTTCTTCCTTCTGCTGCTGTTTTCTGTTTTGCCAGCCCTTTTCATTTCTATTAGCATTATTTTGCCTTCTAACTGGGTATTTTTAGATGATTTTTTTTTTTTTGCCTCATTTGGACATTAATTGGATTTAGAGATAGAAATATTACAGTAAAACCATTTTATATTAGCTAGCTATTAATGAGGTTTCTTTGCTGAGTTAGTTACAAAATTTTTATAAAGAGCCCAGACTACAGCAGGAGAAGGGAACAGAAGCACAAATGACATATGTACAGGAATAAAGTGTCAGTGCCCTATAAAAAAGAAATACCTCCTGAAAACTAAAAGGGAAATCATGAAGCTTCAGAGTAAAGGAAATTGTACCAGATTTCCTGAAACATGGCATTTTGTCTACACTGCAGGAAGATGTGAAGTACTTTTTGACCTTAAAGTCTACTTCTGAAGCAGCTGTATAACAATGTCATCGTAAAGGGCCCTCTTCATTCACTGCTAATGACTTTCTTATCAAAATTGTGCAGTTTACAATCCAGAGGATGATTTTTGTAGTTGCTTGCACTCCTAACTGCTCTTGGGATCTAGGAATTGAGCTGCTTTTTGTGCCTTTTACATTACCACCAGTAATAAAAAACCTGCAATTCAACACAGCAAAATTCATTCCACTCTGGGAGCCCTTTGCAGTGCTAACTGAGGGAAGAGTCTTGGTTTTATCAGAAAGTTGATAGGACTCTGAGGCTTACAGGGTACTGATGTGCAAGAATGTGTTACTTAAGAACTTTCTTGTTTTAAAATATTTGAATTACCTTTATTTTCCTTATGTTTATAATTTCTCAGTTGCTTATTTTAGATAACAGCATTCCTTGGAAAGGAAAAAATTGATGTTGTCCTAAGCAATAATCATGCAGCATCTGGATGAAGGAGGCTTTATAGCAGAAGTCTTTACTGTGTGCTGGCAATTTTTTACCAGCTGTTTCTACTTAGAAACTGTTGCATTTTCATGCACAAACCTGTGTCCTGGATTCAGGACATTACTTGTGTTTCCATTTCTGAAATAAAACTTAGGAGGCAGTTGTAATTTAGAAAAATATTTTGTGACTCTGCATCAAATGCATTTATTCAAATGTATGTGTAAGGGCTCCTTTGGCAGTAAAGCCACTTAGCTTCGTATGGAAACCACTTTCAACATAAGACCTCTAATGTTTTTTGTCCGAGTACGTCTTCTAAGGACTTAAAAGTTGTATAGGAGATATATGGTTGGGAATAGACAGCACAGCTTGGCTCCAGGGAGTAAGGAGACACTTGGCCTGGCCTATATATTGCAATCCCCATCTAGATCTTGAGAACATTTCTTCTGACAGAATGGAAGGACAAACAACTCCCACTGCAAGAATGGAGCAGAGCTACAACAAGAATTATTATGACTGCAGCATTGTTGGGCAATATTGCTGTGTAAGATGGCTTTTTTTTGTTGTTTTTTTAGGGGTCTTCCTGGCATCCCATAATTCTGTGCACCATCTTTATGATTCCCATGCTTCAGGAGACACTGTAGTCTTTCAGCAACGGTAAGCTTTGCTCTCTCCTTGCATTGCCACTATGTTATATCAATAAAATGCCATCAGAATGTCTGCATTCTGATGCAGACAGAATCATCTGCCTGCCTTATAAGCAGATAAAATGTATTTTGCAAACAAGGCTAATGACTTCAGCAGTTGAGGACTAATTGTTCCTGTAAGCTTTCCTGTAAGTTGTCTGGTAAACAGGAGTAGATAAAAGGCTTTAGAATTACCCAAGTCATACAAATAAATACATTAATAACATCTTCATATGCCCCACACATCTATTGGAAGAGGGTTTTCTGATGGCTTTGGTAACCTTCTCATTTCATGATACAGAAATTGATATTACTAAGTGTTTCTGTTGTTTATGCACTTATAAATCTCAACAAGATAAAAATTCTTCTCTGTTCTCACTGGAAAATAATTCTCTTTTGCCTATTGTGAACTATTTATGAAGTCTAAATGTAATGGAAGACATGAAGGTACATATTGTTATTGTTCTCTGGCTTTGCTCACAATATGTTTTGTGCTTTACAACACATCAGGAAGATAAAGACCATATATAAACACAATATATAAACACTAAGTGTTTTTTTATATATATGTAGTCATCATGAAATTTGTCCAGTGGTAGATTGTAAAATTTAGCAGTAAACAGTTCATTTTCTTACCTGAGGAAAACTAACATTTGATGTGTGTATGAGGAAAGATAATCTGAACTTTAGATAAAAGTTCTGTTCCATCTGCCAGTATTAAAGGTTTTCTCTATCACTGAAAGAAAATTCACTCTTTTTGAAAACGAGAAATGGATTTCACTGTGACTAAAACTATTCTTTCTAGTTAAAGTAAGTATTTTAGAAATATAATTTGGATCTGAAAGGTGTAGTAAGTATTTTTTTCTAAAATATCTCCCTCTGGTTTAATTGTGATACTGGCTGGATTTCTCTGTCCAGTTTCTGTTCATGTTTTCTGCTAATAGATGTATCTCCTGTCATAGGTTTATATTCACTATTCTGCTGGCTGGTAAAGGTTGTGTTTGCTTTTACATATTGGGAGGTGATGGCCTGAAATGATGCCTTGGCGTAATGGGTTCCCTACATTAGAGTCAAATACCAGAGGCTGTTTTAAGTGTCTGAACCATAAAGACCTTATTCTTCAGAATACTTGAGGAGTAGATTTGGAAAAGATAATGTGATGCCTATATAACACCTGTCATTTTGGGGGATGTGAAAGTGCTTTAGAAACTAGTACAGGTCTTGACTTTGATTTACACTCTATGAAATGTAGTTTTCTCAGGGAGGGAATTTGGAGGGAAAAAATAACTGTTTAGCAATGCACAGTTTAACTGGCGCAAATCGATATGAGCGGGATCATTTTTAATCAGCTTTTTTTTTGGCTGGTTGTCCTTTTTATTGTTCCATTTTTATTTTGCCATTTTAAAATGCCCCAGATGAAGTGAGGATAAACCAAACTAATTCCTGAAATGAAGTAATAAAGGACCTGCTCACTACTTTGGGCCTGTCTCAACACCATAAATCTTTGGAATATCCTGAGACTTATTGCCATAGTTGTACATTTCTCAGTAAGGTTCAAGGAAGGTGATTGCATGCCCTGTGCCACACACACATGCGTTTGGACTGTGATGCTGTAGAGGCTTCTGTTCATCTGTGCTGCCCATCCCTGGCCATCAGTAAACAAAAACTTACATGCTTTTATGCCACTGGTGGTTAAAATCTGCTGGAGCTGAGCTAAGCCATTCTCCCAGACTGTGACCTTGAGTGTGACAAGGACTTCTAACCCCTCTTAGACACTGCTGTTTACTTGTTCTGTTTTTGACAACCAGATAGAAAATTGCTCCATTGTACTTCTGAAGAACGGATTGGTTTCAAATTACTCTGAAAGGAAGCCAACAGAACAGCTAACACCATGGGGCCAAGTTTTTAATGGTCTTCAGTCTGGCTCTTAAGTTTGTGTTCCCAGGTTCGCACTCTCAATCAATTGTAGAAAAAAGTAATTTCAGGCCCAATTAGATGTGACTCTTCATCTATCAGGTTCAGAGAAAACTGAATATATTTATGATTGAAAGGACAGTAGAAAAAACAGCACTTGAGCTTACCCTAGTGCAATTTGTTTTAGTGTTTTTTTTCACTCAGGTTGTGTGGTCTTTTCAAGTTACAACAGGACTGCATGCTGGTTGCAGCACTCATCACTGCCTCTTTAATGATGAGAAGCATCAATATGTAATTTAGTAATGGAGCTAACTTTGCCAGAGATTGTGTGTTCCAGAAACTTCCCTGCCTGATCATCCAGGAGTAACTCTGTTGGTCACTCACCACCATCTGAGCTGGGACTGAAGCCCTTTCACTGCAACACACCCCACACTCAGTCAGACCAGGTTTCCTCGCTGGCTTGACCCCAGTGTTCCCATAGCAGAGTCTCAGACATCAGGATCCTGTAAATAACTTAATCATAGTGCAACAACAGAATAAGCACTTGAGCTGATGCCTCTGAGTAGGTACCCTTAACAAAGGAATCCCTGGGCTTTTATACCCTCCCAGTCTAAGCATGGGAAAATCTGAGGGTCCTGAGCTCCTGCCATGTCTGTGAGTGTCCAGTGCCCTGGCTGGCACCGCAGGTCCCCGTACCCTTTGCTGTGCAAAGGTTGGTTCCAGTTCATGGCCTCTTGTTGGGGGCTCTCACCACCAGAGCTGAATTCAGAGCTGGCTCTGCAGCTGCTCACAGAGCTAGCAGCACTGAGTGTAGTGCCCAGCATGAGCATGTTTCTTCCTTTTCTACATCTGGAATTATACCAGGGGTTGAAAAGACACTAACAGATGTTAGTGTCTCCAGGTAATCTGCCATTTACTTGAGCCAGGACTTCAATTCCAGAGAGTGTAGATGGGGAAAATGTTGGGTGTGTCACAAAAAATTCAGTATCAATTGTCAGAACAGCTGTTAGAATCCTGCTTCATTCTGCAGGATGCTTCAGGAGTGGAACCAGAGAACAACATGCCAGCGAGAGAAACTATTTGGTCCAGAGTGCAACTAGTTTAGTTTCAGGATTTTGTGATTCTCTGACAACAGCAAGATTAATTTTCTTGCCCTTTTCTGTGCATGTCAGGATCTTGCAGCCTCTTCCCCTAGAAGAAGAGAAAAAGACTGAGCACAGAAAGAATTGAAAACAGCATGATTTTCAATACAGTGTCACCTAAAATAATTTTCTTCCTGGGGATCAATACTGTCCTAATTAAGGTCATCTTAAGGACTGATGTTCTTGGCAAATTTCCTTTTATAAAGACAGCTTTCTTAAATGCACTTTTTCATGTATCTGTTTTGTCATGAGTACCAGTACTGATATTCTCACTTTCTACTATGGAAATAACTATGGAAACTTGTGCTTTCTGTTAGAATTAACATACAAATAAAACTAGTGTACTCTACAAATGATCAAACTGAAACTTTCATATAGCAAAAAGTGCTTGGGAAGTGCTGTATGTATCTTCTTTTCTTACCTTGACACACCATTGCTTATAGTGAGTCAATATCTCATGTGAGGAAATGGCATTTGCTGAACATCAGGAAAAGGAAATTGGAGTCTGATATTTTGCTGCTCCCCAGAAAATCATGTGAAAGTCATCCAGAAAAGCTTTCAGTGCATTGTACAGCAGTTGTTAAATTCATTTTGGAACAGGTTGGCTTCAAATTCTGCTGTCTTGATGGCTGCTGTGAAAAGAAAGACATGTTCTGAAACCCTGAAGGTAGAAATCACATGCTTGGCTGTGTATTTCTACCCCTCATCTGTGGAAAGGGAGAAATGTACTTTGCATGGAGCAGATATCTGCTCTCAGGGCTGTTGGCTGCCTTCTTAAACTGCAGCTATCCACAATGGGTGGATGCTAGTGGAGGAGACTGCTTTCTGCCTATCTTTCTCATACAATTGCAGTCAAAGGCTGCCCTCAGGGAACCTGACCACTGTTTTCTTAAGATACACCTGAATCTTTAATTATGTGTGGCACAAGGCATTTAATTTGTGAGAAATGTTCTTTATTCGTTTATTGGTTTTCTTCTGTACAAGTTTCTTAGGATTTATAACAAATCAGCAAGCAAACAAAAACAGTTCCTTTCGTAGAGAACCTTTTTTTTTTCCATTGGAGGAAATGTACTACTAACTTACTGTAAAATGAAGAAAAAGGATATAGAGAGTAAAGTTTACCTTTGACACCTTTCTTTATGCTGTCGGTTCAAAAGGGTGTGATCTACATTTAATGCACCCCTAATGTTCATAATGAGAGGTTTCTGTACCCTAATGTTCTATGTTTAAAGTCTTTCAGTCTCTCACAGTCATTTTCTTAAATCATACAAAACAAATGAGCTTCTTCTTTCATGGGGGGTGAGGGGTTTTTGCACAGGACAATGATTGCTCTCACATTCCCAGTGCAAAGTCTTAATTACAGCATCAGGAAACACTTCAAGTAGCCTATAAACATCTCTGCATCCTGAGTTTGGCAGGAGCTTTTTTGGCAAAGGCTGCTGGTGGCCTTACATTGATCACTTCAGTCCTGAGCTGCTATCTGAAAGATGTGCTGGAGGGAACAGCATCAGGCTGTTCATGCTCTTGGTCTCTGTGGTAGGCTTTCATCTACCAGATGTGTGATGGAACTCACAATCTCTTTAAATCAGAAGATCCTAATAAATAAAGATGAAGTTCCTCCTGTCTCTGATTAGTTTACTATATTGGGGGAAGTAGAAAACAAGCATTTTTTGTGGTGATATTTAAGGTGTGAAAGAACAGTTCAAAGCAGGCTTACATAAACATAAAGTAGATAAAATTTGGAGCTCTGTGGAACTCTCATGGGAGGGAAAAGAAATACCCTTCCTCTTAAATATAGCTCCCTTAGGTTGCTTTTGGTCAGTCCTGCACTGCAGCTGTAAAGGATTCCAGCTTCCCAGCTCCAAGATGCAATTACTCACAGCTTAAGAGCCACACAGCACACAGGACTGAGCCATGTCCCCATAGCCAGGACACATTAGGGGAATGCAGTTAACCCTGGCTCCCTAGACAAGTCAGAAACAGTCCTGTAATTGTATCTGGGGACAGGCAGGTTGGACTTGAAGTTCCCTGACCCAATTATAGTTGTAACTCTGACAAAGCTTAGCTCTCAAAGCAGGTTAATAAGCTAAAGGGACAAATTCATGTTATGTGCAGAGCATGAAAGTTTCTTTGAAGCTGTTCCACAGTGCTCTAACCCGAAGTTCAACAGGCACTGCGCCAGTCTCTCTGCTGTATCCCATGTGAACTTCACATTGCTTTGCTTAGTAGTGACATTCGGAATGCTTGATGTATTTTTCATCATTCTTACAGCCTTGTGGATTAATGCAAGTCATATAGTCCCTTTCTTTAGCAGAGACGCTGCTTTTCCCAATTTTTAAAAACCATTTACAAAATCCTTTACTTTTACCAGTGAAGCCTAAACTTTCTTTTGTAACAAATAAATTCAGTTTTTCCTGTTTACTTATCTGTCTACTGCTTATTCCATTTTAATGGGAAATTGCTTCCCATGAGCAATTCCAATGAGTCAAAGCCAAATCTTTTGAAGATATACCATGTTGAAGGAGAGGATCTAGGACTAAAGTGTGGAATAGATCTGTCTGTAAAAGACTCAATCACCCCATCATAAGAAAACATTTGGGATCTGCTTCAGGAACATTTCTGTAAGTAGGCACATGTACACTTAATATTTTGCAGTTGGGGGGAGCAGGTATTGAATTTTCAAATTACAGGGCTCTAATTGGTTCCTTAAAAGCCCTATGTTTCCTTTAGTCTTCATCATGTGAAACTTCCAACTAGTCCTAGAATGGCACCTGAGGTTTCCTTAGCAGGAATTTGGGCTCCACTGATGTTAATAAAATTTTGCCTTTGTCTTCAGTGTAACAATTACACACCTGCAGCTCAATAGCCTTTGTCCCATATTTTCATGCAAAGCTGTGTGGAGATGTTAATGTCACTTCAGTGAAACCACTTCTGGTTTCCAATTTTAAAAAGTGTTAAATTTTTAATAATATGGATTTCTTTAATGTCCTTAATAATATGTACTCATACAATTAAAATAAGTGAAATGTGCGTAGACTGGAAACAGGTACTGGGTACTCAATGAAAATACTATGACTTGCACTAAAAATCTCCTAAGAACATGCTTAATTCCAGATGCTGTCATTGGTACTGCATGTTGCTAGTGAAAAACAAGGCCAAATGGGCCTAAAGGAAAAGGCCAGCATGGTAAGAGCACCCTAAGGCATGTTTTGAATGAAAACTTGGGACACTGCAGTCATGAGTATGCTTATAGCTGGTCTAACTTATGGGCTGTATTTAAACTGATATAGCTAGCTTATGTATCAGTTACAACAAAAATATGAGCTTTAGGGGACTGCCAAAACCTCTGGATACATGGACCACTCACCTGTTATTTGGGCTAATGCACTGTAATTGCTATCTGAGCTAAATAGGTTAAAGATGGCACTGTTGTGTGCAGGTAGCTAAACCATCAAAAAATAACCTAGAGTGGTCTGGAAATAGCCCTGGAATGTTATATAGAATTCAGGGTGGGCTAACTTAAAGGACTAGGGAAAAAAGACCACGTGGCAGTTGAGAAAATAGAAAGCAGTGGGGGAAAAAGCAACATCCTAGCACATAGCTGAAATCTTGCAGAGATCACGGTGTGCTAAGATAAGGGGCCAGGAGAAGAATACATGTTGGTTGAGAAAATGAAAAATAGTGGGGAAACAAAGTGTAACTAGCACATGACTGAAATCTTATAGAAAGGAGTGAGAAAAAAGTGAAAAAGAAGCAAAGATTGAAAAGAAGAATTGTTTCTACAAGAAACAAAACCTGGGAACTAAAAAATCCTGAAGTTATCAGAAATGTGCTATAGAACTATTATTGAAATGGAGGAAAGAGAATAGATGGCAGAAAGTGAGAAATATGGAAAGATCACACAGAACGAAAGAAAACAAGGAGATTTCCAGAACCTTAAGAATAGCATTTTCTCGTGACTGTGCTTTTCTGCAGGATCTCAATTTTGTAACTTATTTTCTGCCTCTATTGCAGAAAGGAGCCAAAGCTTAAGGGCAGGAAAACAGGAAAGCATTCCATTGAAATCAAATCTAAATCCAGACACGAGCCTGGTTTTCAACTTACAGCCTAACTCTAAATCCCTTTAAAGTTTTCTTGTCACTTAATTGCACTACAAAGCCTTGGCAGCTTCCTCACATCACAATTCTAAGCTGTCAAAGTAAGTAAAAGTAGATATAAAGCCCGTCTAGTGTCTGTCAACTTTTAGAAACCATTTTCTAGCTGCAATTATGTACCAAGCAATAAGTTTATTGTGTCAGGTCGTAAGGCCCAACCTACAAATTTTGGTTCATCAAATTTAGTTGAACCTTGCTTTATTAGGTGGCCTTCCTGGAACAATAAAATCCACCTTTATCATACCTGGAACTGGAGTCTTTGATCTCAGATTTTAAATATTGCATGTTTGTTTGAACTGACATACAAAGAAGAAAGATAAAACAACTAAAAATGCTCTCACTTCACTGTTAAGTGGTAGAAATGCTCTCAATTACATGCATAGACAGTGAAAAACTTTATAACCAGGGTAATTCCTAGGCACTTCTGGGGCATATATATAGCAACATGTAGCATTATGATAGCTTCACCTCACCCTTCTGACAAGCTACTGTAACCGCTGGGCCTCATGAAGAGAAATATTTTAAGGCCCCAGTTATCTCCTATGACAGTCCATGGAATATCGTAGCCTATGTTACCTTGTGGATGTAGTGCATCCATGTATAACAACTGCACAAAACCTCAAAGCTATTTTGTAGCATAAAATTGAAATTTTGTAGCATAAACAATGCTTAGATACTTTTCTGTTAATTAAGGAGGCACTATAAGAGCTAAGAGCAGGGATTAAAAGAAGTAAAGTTTTCGTAGTTTTGGTAAAAATGGAATTAAGAGTTGGGCTGGTCACATCAATGCCACATACCTATAAAATGTGGGTTCAAATAGAAGTGTTTAATCAATCATCACTGTGATTAGTGAATAGCAGAGTGGACTGATTCAGGTTTCTCTTGCTACTACGTGCGCTAGTATCAACAGCACTCAACTTATTTTCATGACATTACTTCTGCTTTGGACTGCTGCTAATGGGACTTGCACTATGACATTTACCCACACCTAACATAAAGTACACTTGCACTACAAACCAGTCAGTAGCCTTAAAAGCATATGTTATCAGTTTGCTGAGAATGGACAATTGTGAGCATGTGTGCTCATAAGGAGCACAGGTCTGATCGTTATATTGGGAAGAGAGCACAGTTCAGTTGGATTTCTGGCTGAGTTATTTTTAAAGGGTAGTGTTTTGAACATGGAGAAATGCAGTGCTGCAAATAAGAATTTATATATAAAATCTTAATGTTTTTGTAGAAATAGTAGTTTTCTTTCCTATGTTCTTTTGGAAAGAAATATTTGCAGGTATTTATATGGGTTGTGTGTTGCTATGGAAATGTCAGGGAGGGGTAAACAAAGAGGAACAATTCTGTTTATAAAGAAAACAGAAAACAGATGAGAGGAAGAAAATGTAATTATCCCCATTTTACAGCTGAGAAATTTGAACACAACAAAGATAAAGAGCCCAATTCTTATAGAAATCTATCAACCCTTTTAGATTCACCTGTCATTTGGGCATTGTTCTGCTTGCAGGGTGCTCCCAGAACACCAACAAATCATTATGCTCCCCTCACACTGTACCTTTTGCCTGCTTCTGCATTCAGATGCAACCTTTCATCATAGCTGTCAAAACTGTATTTTGTAAAAGGACCCAAGTCACCCTACCACCCCAGCTTCTAAAGAAATATTGGCATGACCCAGTGATCAATAAGAGAGCTCAGAATAGAAATAAAAGAAACTGGCACTACCAGCAATGAGACCCTGCTTTCTGTCCCACTGAATGTCACAGTGTGGATGTAGGCCCTCTATTCATAACATGTCGCACTAACTTTGGAGTCTGATCATTTTCTTTTGTTTCAGATCTGACATTGGAGGAAGTGGGTGGGTCTTTCAGTATTCTGTTCAGTAAGTTCTGCAATCTTGACAGTAAGTTTTGCACTCTCTGATTGTGAATGGTGAGGACCAGAAACATCCCCAAGCCACCAAGAAGAGCTTATAACTGAAAACAGGTTCAAATTTAAATATGCAAACAATCTCAGTGACCACAGCCTTCCCACTCCTTCCTTCTGTTGGGCATTTCTGATCCTTGCACTCTGCAACTGATTGAGCGTGAGTTCAGGCTGCTGTTCAGAGTCAAAAGAAACTGTCTTAGAGACAGCAAAGAAATGCACCAGGAGAGGTGGAGGAGATACAGGAGAATGTGACCAGCCCCAGTCAAGTACTTAAAGGTAGTTTGATCCCACAGTTCTTTGTTAAAGCAAGGAGCCTGAGAAATAAAATCCCACAAAAAACCGTCTGTGTTAGAATCCAGTCCCAGCAGGTAAACAAGAAAATTTTTCCTCAAGATCAGAGTAAAAGGAACAGAAATTGTTCCTCAAGAACAGAGTAGAAGAGGACCTTCTGCACCTGCATTTTTTAGCTGCTTTGCCAGAGAGCCTGTACTGAGCCTGAGAGAGAGTTCAAGCAGAAGAATTTATGCTCTGATCCAGAATTTGGTACATGTATCTGTGCCCATAAAAACTGTAACTTTGGCATAAAAAAGCCATGCCATAACTATGTCTGCATATCCTCCTCTGAACTTTTAGAGTATTAGCTCCTGGTGAAAAAGTTGGTGGGGAAAAACCACCTGACTGAGGATCTTGGACTCATGCTAGAAAATGGGCTGCTTCTCTCTTTGGTCACAAAGCTGGGTGTCAAGAAATGTCTAGGAAGAAAGTTACTCTGACTCATCAGATAATAGCTGATTTTCATGCATCTCACTTCCATCACACTTCCACACCTCCACAAGGCAGTCAACCAGCACCTGATATTCTTGGATATCAACTCTGAACTCTCTTATTCTCTAGATGTTGTATATTTCTTTCAAAATAAATATTTTCTTTTTCTTGAGCTTCACTCTGTCTTGGCATGTCTTTCTGACTAGAGTTGTGCTCATCTTAGGTGAAAGATGGAATAGTCATCTAGTGGAAGGAATTGCCCAGAAAATGAAACCAGGTATCATTTAAATAACCCAGACTGTGTCACAGATTCAGCCTGGACTGAGACCAAAAGAATACTTAGAGCCTTTTTCACCTGAAACTTGAGGCATGTGTGGCTTTTTACATTTTCAATAAGGAGTGCATCACAGAAAAAATATCTCTGTTCATATGTGAAGTCTAGGAAGCTGGAGCTAGTAGAAGGTTTTTGCTTTTCCCCCAGAACTTGTTAGGTGACATACTTCACTAGTGTATGGGCTTGTCTCAGCAGCCTGTCTCTCATCTTTTGCTACACTTGTGGATAGAAATCCACAGTACTGTCATATTCCCTGTTCCAGTTCTGCCCCCACTAAAATCAGAAATCACCATTGCTTCCTTTCTAAGTCATAAAACTATCTATAGCCTTGCTTTGACTCACAGTCACCTACAGTTTTTGACATCCATTCCTATCCTTAGAGCCACTCCATGCTAACCTCATCTGGAAAAATCCTGCACTTGTTAGATCATGTCTCTCACTCTTTACTAATATATATCAGCCAAGACAAGACCTGGAGGATGCAGTGCTGTCATCTGGTGCTCGAGGCTCTTCGTCTATCGTCTGCTTTAAGCTTCCGCCCCACTTTGCTTCAGGAATGTTGGCTCTAACCTGGTAGGCTGGAGTAACAGTAACTATGTACAATGAAACTGAGGACTTCAAGAACAGCAGTGGAGGAATATAAATATCTTGAAAGCTGGGGAAAGACCATGATAGGACTTGAACACAAATCTGAATTGTGAAGGTTGTCAGAGTTTTATGAGCTGAGCATGTGTACAGGGTCATCTAAGAGGTGCAAGGAACTTTAGACTTCTAAATGTAAATGACAACATAAAGTAAATGCCAAATGTCTGGTAGGAGTATATGAGCATGTGGGCATGGAGGCAAAGAAAGTTTAGATGCCAGCACAAACTGAGATGTGTAACAGGGCTAAATCTCACTTGAGATGAAAAACCTGTGATGTCCCCAAGAACTGAATCTTGTGAATTCTTTCATCTTCTACAGCTGCAGCCTAACCCTACTTCAAAGTCATCTTTAGACTGTAAGGCCTCTTAAGCCACTATAGACGATAATTTCTAACAAATCCTAGTCTCAGACTGTTACTTAAAACAGCTGCTTATGTGATACATTTTTTCAGTGTTGTCCTTGGAAAAAAAATACTTCAGCAATAGAGCATGTCTATCCAACAAGGGGTAGCCTGTTTAATTTTTCTGATTCAGATTAAAAAAAAATTGTCCTTGGAACTGTTGTAACATTGTTGTCTTGCCTCTCTTAGAGCCTGTCTGTTTTGTTGTGAGGGGCAGGAGCAAGCTGCTCAGGCTGCAGCAGGGTGGCTTCTGAGCTTGCTTGAGTGATGTGCAGGTAGCAGGTGTGCATGTCTGCCTACACCTGAATAAATTGTCCAGCATCACTGAAAGAAAGGCTCCAAGGCTTTGAAGAATAAATCTTGAAAGCGGGTCTGACTCCTAATTCAAAATCTAATTTTCTCCCTGGGCAAAATTCAGATTCTTACCTCCAAATACTCCATAATACTGAAGTTAATTATGGGGGCTGCAGTTTACATACTTGCTCTAAGAGTACAGTAACCTAAAATCCAGTTGGAAAATTTCAGGAAGTTTATAATTATTTTCCAAACTCTTATGTGTGTTATGCCTTCTGGTTACTTCAAGATAGAGAAGAAAAGAATGAAAAATAAAAAATTATGAATAATACCTTGAAAATAATTCCAAAATATTCTAGAAGGTAAAAAAAAAAAAATCAATATTTTATTACATTTCATAGGCAATACAAACAACATGCTGCTCAGTACTTCAGCTACATACAGAGTTTTCCAGGTTCTGGCAATCACAGAATTTAAGAAGAAATATTGTCTTGTGATACTTTTTCCTTTTGAGATTGTTGATAAAATGCAGGGACTGGTCCAACATCACCAATTTGTTAACATCACTAGGAACGGTAATATGAAACAACTGCTTGAACAACTAATCCTGCAATCACTATAGCAGATGATAGAAAATGGACTAATCTTGGAAGTATACCTGTGCATGTGTATGTGTTTCCACAGCTGGATGGGGCAGTCAGAATGCAAATAAACTAGGCAGAAGAGGGAGATGGCTCATCTCAGATTTGTTGCAGGAAGAAGTGTTCTAACTATGATGTTCACTTTAGTTTTGGGCAACACAGGGGATCTTGACAGTTAGGAATCTTTGGTCTTTGCAGCTTGTGAAAAATATCAGTAAATCAGTAAGAGCCACTAGACATATCAGGGCTAGTGACAGACATAGGTCTATCTGTATGAATGTAAGTGCTTTGTTTGCAGAAATGGTACACACTGCTTTGCACTATGACTAAACAAAGATGTGGCTTCTTTGGAAAAGCTTACCTGTGTTAGTTCTACTCTCTGAGGGAAAACACAGATAGAGTAGGAGTTTTTCTGCTAACTCTGGGTACCACAGTCTGCTAAGGAGGATGGAGGGAGGAACTTTGGGGTTCTTCACACAAGAAAACTTGAGGATCAGATCTGCTATGCTTGTATTCAAAGGAAAAAAAGTCAGGTACAGGAATCTACTTTGACTTTAGATCTGAGGAAAGAAAATAAATGAGACAAAGTAAAATAAAAAAAATATATGGCCATGGCTGCTTACAGATAAAAAATCCTGCTTTTCATACACCCCCTCGTCTTTGTTATCATTATCTGTGACATAAAAGCAAAGACTGGCAGTTAAAGGAAGTATCTCTGTAAAAGCACAGGGAGTACAGATATGAGTATTTTCTTTTCTACAGCAAAGGAGAATGGAACTCAGTTCTAATATTAAAACAGAGAGCAAGGATATAAATATTTTACTTAGATATTTGCTGAGAGGAGAGAAAAGGCTCCTTTTTAGCATTAGCCCAATTCAGCGAACTTGAAAGGTTAAATAAACATAAATTCCTGAGAGGTAACAATGTGATATGGGTCTAGAGAGAGGATAGCAACATGAAGCTAGAGTATTCTCAGCAGTGCTGTTATAGAGCATTTGCTGTGCTAACATTACCTCATACTATAAATTGATGTATCTTTTGCTGTATTTTACTAGGCATTATAGTTTGTATTGTTGTTTGTATGCTTCCTCTGTGTTTTCCTATTGTATATTATAATAAGATACATAATTCTGCCACAACAAAAGCAGAAGAAATAAAGCTTGACTGATGGATGCTGCTTGTATATTTTAGACTGTAGTTTGAAATCAGCCTGAATTTCCAAATTGACAGTAAATGAATATTGATACAAAACTCTTCATGTAACACAAAGCTTTTTACTCTGTGTTCTAAGTGTTTTCTTCCTTGACTGGCTGGGTTTGAGATGTCTTTTAACATATCTAACTGGGAGAATAGGAGTAAACATATTTCTAGTTCTGAATGTTGCATGATACAATGATTCTGATTGATTAAAAATAGAACAAGCACAGGAAAAAGTATTCTTTGGAAGTTAGATCTTTTTGCTGCTTCTGCTTTATGTCCTTTTGATATCCAATGCTACAAGCAAATTCTACCTGACTAGAGAAGACAGAAAGTTTCTGGAAAATAAATACTTCATTCTCTTTTGCATCTGAGGGAGAGAGGAGTGGATTCTACTGAGTTTTGAAAAGTGTCTGTGTTGGGGGGGCATAGATTGTTTCCTGTTAGTAGCAACTGCCTTTGGAACTGCTCTGCCTCTCTTCCTTTCTTGCCCATGTAGAACCTTTCATCAGTTGAGTTCTGAATGAGTAAAATGTCTGAAATAAAAAGTACCCCATGTTGTACCAGATTTCCCATTCTTAGGAAAAAAAGTGGACCAGAGATACAGATAATATTCTTTAAATGCATACTGTCTAAAAGTCATTGCTAACACTGTTGTGCCCTCTATCAGTAACAGATCTGTGAATAAAAATTTGGCTATTGCTGAAAAGGGTTCAGTTACTTCTTCAGCTGATATAGCTAAAACTAGCACAGTTGTAACAGTCCTTCATTTATGACTTGAATGAATTATATTTAATTTATCCTTCCTAAATTAGAAATTAACTAAACAGTTTCAGGAAAATATTGCAGTATTTGAAAAGAAAAAGAAAAATGGCATAAGATGCTTTCAAGAAGAATAGGTGAAGATCCACAGAGCACTGCATCCACTTTTGGAGGTCTTTTGAACACTTCTAGGTTGCATATCTTGCTCATGTCTCAATTTTGTATCAGGTAGAGGCCCACCAACGTGCTAATCTCACACTTTCTGCATGAAAACCAGACTTTGATGGGACACATGCCTGTGATACCTTTATAGACTGTATATGCCCATTAGGCCCTCATGTTTTGTTGGACCAGCAAAACATGTTATGCCCCAGTTGCTTATTTAAGCAGTTAAAGAGATAGAGAGAGTTTGGACATGTTTTATCTTTCCAAAAACTATAATTTTGCTCAAGGACCAAGAGGAATAGCAAGAGAGGCTCAATAATCCCACCCAGATGTTTCCTTAAAAATGACAGAAAGAGGAAA